TTTAATTTCGTTTTTATATCGTATTTGGGTATATTTGTCTCTCTCCATAAGTTTGTTTCTAGCATTTTCTTTTCAAATGCGAAACTGCTTAATTATATTATAACCTATCCTTAACAACTCACATAAATATTTTGCAACCGGACTTAGTGGTGTTATCTACATCTAAACATCTTCTTTAATAATATTTTAATAAAAACTATTATTAATAATAATTTTTTTTTAATTTTTTTATTTCTAGTCCAACTGGTGCCACACTGCGTACACAATTTCAAATTAAGGATTACTTATTATCACCAGGTACCTGTAAATGTGGTTTACCATGTCCACTGCGCCCAGAATATTTTTTCGATTTTAATGCTCAGGTAAGTTTTTATTGATTTCATTTATCATTTTAAATATATTATAATATAGTTAATGTTATTAAAGTAAATGTTAAAAAATTAGATGTTTTGAAAAAATATTGCTTAATGATTTAATCACAATGAAGACACCAATAGAAATATCGTCGGATATTATTTTTAGGTTGACTTCTATAAATTTTAAAGTCTATTTATTACCTTATTTGAGTTTGGAGTGATTGTTTCTATTTGACTCTAGATGGCTTTTGTTATATATTTAGTAAGAATGTTATTCTAGTTTGGTATAAATTTGTCTTCAGTTTCAAAAATCTCATAAGTCTTTAAAGACTCTGTATGAAAGGAAACAGTATACATCCTAAAAGGAAAATTATAACACGCATTTTTAATATATGATGTTGGGAATAATGTGAATGATGTCATTAAAATCGTTTGCAGTTAGAAATATACAATTTTCTTTAACTTGATATTCAAGTGAATGTAAATAATGGCCTACATTTTTTACATTTGCTTTATTTAAGGATATATTGAAAAATTAGAATAAAAAGTGACTTTCAATGGAGTGAAGCACTGAGACCATTGGAGATCTTTTATGTTAACAACAGACTCTAATCGAATAAAAGGTTATTAGAAGATTATGACATCATAAGAATAGCTTGCAGTTAGGGAATTTTCTATTATCATAACTTTAGATAGACCATTATCTTTATCTTATTTAAGGATTATATTGGAAAATAAGTATAAAAAGGCTATTAACTTTCAATGTAGTGAAGCACTGAGACCATTAAGGATCTTTAGTGTTAGCAGCCGATTTTAACTAAAAAAAAGCTTTAAAGCTCTCTGAAGTAAAACCAAAACGTATGATATTTTCTAATATCAAACGGATATAGAAGCGCAGGTGTACTATTTTTTTTCCACTATAGATGAAAAGTGGACGGTCATAAAAAAAAAGTAGGTTAGGTTAGATTAGAGTAGAGGCTATATGCCCATATACCACTTGCGCTTAAATAATGATCTGTTGTGATACACTGGATTAGCTATGACAATCAGATGTTTATGCTACTGTTTATACGCAGAGCAAAAGGGTTAACGAAAGTACCCCACTAGTTAGAGTAAGAGTAACCCCGAAAGGCACGATTCCACCAGTCAGGTGAAAGTACAAAGAATACCTATAAATAGGATTGATAGTTAAGATGATAAGATGAGATAGACTCATCTTGTTGATATGGTATTGCAGGTCATGGCAATAGGTCAGATAACCTGCCAACAGGCTTAGCTAAAACTGGCATGAGTATTTGACAACTTAAATATATATATATGTGATCATATGCATTTCTTGATATGCATATATCATTTAACTATTGATTAAGTGAAATTTTACATATGTATATATGAATATATATATTTATGGTATGGTATATAAATATGTATTAGTGTACTAAATAGTAAATCATTCATTTGAGAGATAATTTTTTGTTTTGATTAAAGAGGGAGCTTTTGTGGAAATAGTTCAATTTTTAATATAAACAATAATATATGATATTAAAGCAATTTTTTTATTTATTCAATATTAATAATCTGCATTGTATAAAAGTGTATATATCCTCAAAATGATTTCCTCATAATTCTTGATTATATTTTTATAATCAATAATTTTTTAAATATTTTAACAATTTTTTCTTATTAATTGAAATTAGAGGAACTAATTTATTGCTATTTTCAAGCTCTAATCATTAAGCTTATTATTATCAAATTAAATTAGTTACCTGACTTCCCTTTAAAAAGTATTTTAAAATATTTTTATGCTGCGATTGCACAATTTATACCTGTCATAATACAAATTGTCTCTTCCTTCGAGCCAATAATTGATATAAAAATATTCTCAGCGGTCAGGTAAATTACACATTAAAATGTATTGTGTACATTTTATAAGTCCTAATGACTATAACTAGTATTTGCTATCTAAACGAGCAAACAAAAACCAATTTAATATATATGGTATAGCGTATATGATATATAGTATAAGTACAATAGCTTAGCTCTGACCTCCATTGCCAGCTGCAAAAGACATTGAATTCTAAATAATTGTATTTTATAAGTGTATCTCAACAATTGATCAATGTCGCTGTCTCCGCATTTCATTTCGTGATGGGAATGCTGCACAGCACACATCTAAAAATCTTTTATGGCAACAGTGTTCTCCCCTTTTGTTGGCCATACAGTCATTTATTGCCTTACCGTAATTGCCACATCAATAATTGACTATACGCTAGGATGTCAATAATAATTATAAATCTTAATTATAGCTGCAAATAATTGAAGGACAGGAAACTGCACCAACGTATGAATCTATATAACATAGTCAAGTGAGAGGGACTTTACTTAAAAGCACTGCAAAAAAGTGTTGGCATTTATGACTTCAATTTAAGGTGGGGGAAATACAAATTAAAAGGCAATCAAAAATATTGCATACGAAAACAGAGAGACGAGTACAAATCAAACCTAAAAAGCAGGAACATATGAGGACAACCGGTTCGATGGTTGAGTTGTATGGATGGTTTTTATTTTTTACCATATATACCATATAGCTTTCCTTCATATATCCTTTGATTTGTACGTTTTTTGTTGTTTGATGCGATGCAGTGCGGAGCGGTGCTGAGTTGGGCTGTGTGTGTTATTTTTAAATTCGATTTGTACACATCTCAGGTTTTACCAGCTTTTAATAAAATTTTCCTCTTATTAATAATTTTTTTTTGTTTTTTTTTTTTACCTCTTGTAACAATCTCTATTGACATTTTGTTGGTACAATATAAAAATTGCATACAAGGACTACTGTCGTCTACAGATACGGATTTTGCGAATACGAGTACAAACAATATTGATGCCGTATTTGCTCAAGGCTCAAATTAAAAGCATAAAGGCAAAAAATTAATTTGAATTGAAAACCGATAAAGACGCTGGCAATTTGATTGAAATGTACAAATTTTGTTTGTTTAGTTGTTTGTGCTTGGATACTCATATATGTATATAGTCAGATACATAAGTACATATATATATTTTTTAATAATTGGTGATATTGCTCTTTGCGTGTTGTGTAGAATTGTATGGAGACATGGACATCAGTCGTATTGCCCACGTTTTATTTGTAGTCTGGGTAGGTTTTCTAGTCACTCTTGGCATTTTGATTTTTAATTTTTAGATTTATGTTGTGACAATGGCAAAATGATATTTTTTATTTATTGTAGTTGTCATTTAATTACTTCATATGATTTATTTTTTATTTAGACATTTTTGCACATGCAGAGTAAATGTATATTTTATTAAAATTATTAAAGTCAAACATGACAGAAAAACTATTACCAAATAGAAACGAAATACTACAACAAAAACTTTGTTGCAATGTTATATATATGTTATATATATACATGTATCATATACGTAATACTATATATATAGTATTATGAAAATGCTTGGAATGTAAAACAGTGTACATATCAGCGCTTTCAGTGAACTTAAAGATTCTAAGGAGAACTCAAGCAATAAATATCCCACTTAATTATTAAAGACTTCTTCATCCCGAAATCATAATTGTGCTGCTCATCTTCCATTCGTGTAGAATTAAGTATCTACTCTGCTATTTTAAAATTAACTATGTATACATTATAAATCTCACAATTAAGCTTCACGAAAATATGCCAACCTTATTCTTCGATTGTCATTCTCAACTTTTTTCCTAATTGGAATAGGTAGGAGAAAAGTATGTAGTTCTTATAAGCTACAATTCTCCTAGGAGCTATATGTAAATTTTCTGAGAATAAATTTATCTATCATTAAAAACATATCCTCAATAGCAACTTTAGCTATTGATAGATAGATAGTACATTGAATATTATTTTCAGAGCAATCCTTGGAGTACGCTTTAATGGTCCTATTATTTCATTGGTATACCAATTTTTATAGAGTGGTGTAATTTAATTATTTAGCTCAATTAAGATTGGTCTCACCATTGATCTGGATCATAAATACACTAGTGCAGGAGGCAGCAGAAGTAACGTTTAGCATTCTTTAATAAGATTATCATGCATTAGCGGCTTTGTTAGCTCTGTCTTCTATATTGGCTTGGCTTGATTTACACGGAATCTGACAATGACAAATAAAATGTTAACGTGCTTCTATCTCTGTTCCAATTTAACAGAATTTATAGCGGTGGTGACTATTGGCCCTAGTTATAATGTATGCAAAATTATATCTCAGAAACTATATCAAAAAAATTTTCATGGATTCTTTTTAAAATTTTAATAAAAATATTTAATAATAAGTGAAAATTAACAATTTCCTTTCCACCTGTCATATATAGTATCCAATGTTGTATTTCGTTCAGAGGTTCTTCCCTGACAACATCTTCTTTTCTTTGGCGTGAGAATTATTTTTGTAAAAATTATTACAATATATATTCTATATATACAATATGATTGCATTGTGATATGCTCAAATTTTGATTTACGCGCAACAATTGTTTCATAAAGTGACAGTTCGGGATTCATGCACCAGTAAAGCACAGACATATTATATCTCATCTCATCTCATCTCAAGTAAATTAAAAGTATTTCTTATTTCAAATGAATCATTTTGCTGTTTTATTTAAATAAATTATTTAAGAATTTATGGTATTTAATTGTATATTGCTCCTTTGCCTTGCTAGAGTTGGCCGACAAGGTCTGGAGTCAACTGGTTCTCTGGCTCTAAGCATGCACAATTAATTAAAACTATCTACAAAAAAAAATAAAGGGAATGAAAACTAAAATTGATAGAAATTAAAATAAAAATCTGCAAATGTTGTCACACACGAATTGGTACAAATGTACGATAGACACTTAACTATAAAATATTTTTCACATTTAACAATTTCTGCAATTTACTTAAGCACACAAGCGTAACACAAAAGTGGCGGCGGCGGCGGCGGCGTCGTCGTTACTGTAAAAGTATCTTGGCGCTGCAACTCAGTACATGTCACTTCATTTGCTGTGACTCTATAGATACACTCATACAGCATTTTCTTTTCATTTGCTGTTGTTGTTGTTATTCTTGTTGCTGTTGTTGTTGCTGTTGTTTAGTTGTAGTTACTCGTTCGTTGTTTTGTCAGTATCAATGAATAATCGTCTTTGGTGCAATGTCACAACGTGCATTTGCCATACCAAAATGCATGCATAAATCTCATTAATTTAATCAAATAAAAACCATTGTGCCACCAAATGACTTAAATGCTAGCATATCGGCAACCCCGCCAGCACAGGCAACACCAGAACCCAACCAACGACAGCGAATTCCAAGCTAGCATTAGCCCACAAAACGGGGAGCAAACGCTCAATTACAAATTTTTCTTTCGGAGTTCGTGCGTCATTCATTCAATGTCTCTGGTGTCTCTGGTGTCTCTGATGTCTGTGTCGTGTCACAGAAACTTTTCACTGACAAAATCAACAAAAACTTAATGTTATACTCGTTAAGCGTGTAAAAAAAAAGATACAGCTACATCGAGCAAAAAATGAAAAAAAAAAAAATGTATATAAATTAACACAAATACAAATTTGCACCTTATCTGCATTTAATTTTGTGTTAAATCCCAAATGGTTGGCCTTAAGTAATGTATAGCTAGGATGACTCTAATAAGGTGGAACGCACACTGTGCCGGCTGTGAAATTGCATGTTTCATTCTGAACTCTTTAGCGGCTAAAGTTGAAACTTAGTTTAGCTTGACTGAGTTGCAGTTGTTGTTGCTGTTGTGGTTGTTGGTGTTGTTGCGATTAGTGAAATTTATGCAAGACAAAGCTGACATTTTAACAAATTGATTCGATTAGTTTTCACTAAGCGCAGCAGTTCACTTTGTGAGGCGTAGAAGGAAAGGTCGGAAAAGTCTTCAAAGTGCCAAAGACACAAATTTGTTTTAGTTACGCAATTGTGCATGTGCAGGAAATTGAAGATTGCGATTAATTTAATTAAAATAGTTAAGTTGAAAACTTGGAAAGATTAAACGATATTTGCATGCAATAGAAGGATAGTGCAACGATATGAAATTTGATTTAATTGGAACTTTTGATCAAATCCGAGGTTATAGTTTACAATTATGCAAGGTTAAAAAATCCCATTTTAACAGAAAAAGTGTCAGGAGATTAGATGAGTTATGTTAGGTTGCTGTAAGTATAGCGCTGTGACAACTAACTAACTAACTAGCGCTGGAGGAGGACGTCATCAGTGAATAGATTTTGACTGGAAGATAAATAAATATAAATACAGTTTTTATATAGTCTAATTTTACGAAGAAGCATTGAAGATCTCTAGTTGTCATTTGGTTGTCAATGAGGTTTGTTGTTAAAACTCCCCATAATAATGGCAACTTTACACCTTTCCGTTATTGGGTTTATAGTTAATCGATATATCTAACTACTCACTTTCAATCTTAAAAACCTTGACTTGACATTCTAAAACATAATTTGGTTGATTTAACAGATCAAAATATTTTGTCTCGACACATCATATTGGTTCAACCATATCAAGTGTTGGTTTTCATATCTTTTTTACCACATGAGCTAAAATATCTCTAACAAAATGATCAGGTCAATGGACCTACTATGTGGTTAGAGCATATTTTTCTGAATGTATCACACAGTCAATTATTTAATCATCTGGTAAAATTGAGATATGATTAATTCAAAAGTTTGTTTTATATTAGTTACTTCTTGTTCGAATTTTTATTTTAAAATATATAGTTTTAAATTCGTAATTATGAAATTAAATAATTTAATGTCAAACCATACCAGTAGTCTGGAATTGTCTGAAGAATACGGTTATGTCCCTACGCAAATATTGGCTGAGATGACCAATTTTTTTGTAACTATTGGACTTTGAGTATATATTGATATGAATATATGAGGTCACAAGCAAAAATCTACTCAAAAAATGCATTCAATCAAAAAACTTGCAATATCTTTAAAAGAGTCTGCGTCTTTGGTTGGGTTCCAAACACGTTTAGAGGAAAATGGTGCGTAAGAAATAAGAAAGTAGTTAGCAAAAAATGTTTTTAAATAATAAGGTGTTTAATAAATGAAACACAAAATAAAAATTTTACATACTTTAATATATGTTGAAAAAAAATACCTTATATATAATACAATATAAATGTTTAATCATATTTATATCACGTCATAGTTAACTATTTGTTAATATGCTCTCTATAAGTGCTCCTTATAAATTGATATTTAATAAAATTTAATATCAATTTTATTAATTATAATATTTATAACACATAATAATATAAATTATATTTAATACATAAATACAAATTTTAATAATTTGACTATAA